GGAGCTGGAGCGAGCAGGAGGCTTGGGTTGCTCCTGGCGATGGAGGAAGCCAAGCTTCCCACAGGCCCTGGATTCCATTGAAGGAGGGGCTGGGGGCCTGGGCTCCGCTCAAGGAGTGGCTGGGGGCCTGGGTTACCGTGGGCAACCCAGGCTTCCAGCCAGCCCTGGCCTTCACTGGAGGAGCTGGGGGATCTCTTCCCACTCACCTACCCACCCCTGGCCTTCCCTCTGAGATTTGACAGTCTGTTACATGCTTCTATGTCTCTGGATCTATTATGTACACTTGATTTATATAATTTTTGTCTTTGAAACCTTATTCCAAAGTTATTGTTTTTGGTTTCCCTTTTTCAGCCCTTTCAATACAGTGAAAAAGGTAGTTAGTATTCAAATGCAGTTCAACAATTTTATTCACAGAATAAAATAAAATATATCAATTTTAAGACTTGAGATTCAGTTCTTTAGGCATTCATTTTAATTTCACTCACACTTATTCTTTCTTCCTTGTCATCAATTCGAACTTTGTCTTTCTTCCAGTAGATGGTGGGTTCAGGGTGACCTCGGGGGGGCTGGCACTCCAGGATGGCAGGCTCTCCAGCTGCCACCACAACATCTGTGGGATTTTGCCGGAAGTCATCGCGTAACACTGAAGGAAAACAATCGTAGTGAAAGAAAATTCAATGACAGTCACATCTCTTACAAAGGTAACTTGAAGACTCATTTACTTGGTCCTAAAAAAGTTGCCAGGGTGACTACTTAAGCATGCCCAACTTACAAAACCTAGAGTCAACCTAAGTGTTCATCAACAGGAAAATGAATAACTGTGACAATGCACCTTTGCTAAAAATCTGACTTAAAAATAAGGTAAGTCTAAGGAAAATAGGGTGAGAAATGTTCATGATATAGTTCATAAATAATTACACTATTTATAATAAACTCAAAGTACAAAACTTTATGTAGTATGATCCTATCTTCTATTTAAAAAGCACACATACATATGTGTATATACATATATTAAAATAAATGGTCAAATTATACTTAGAACCTTGAACAAGTTGTGTGCACATGGTCTGTGAACATGAAGGCATATCTATCTAGGAGGGGAAGTGAGTGAGAAATCTTTGAGAAAGGCCTTTCTCCTGACATGAATATGGACATGATCCACATTGTTTTCATTACACTTCAGAAGATTGACTCATTGTTCACCCTTGCAACACACTAGCACCCACACACACAGGGCTACATTTTCATTCTCTCTGCATCTCCACCTGCCGAGCGACATCTGGGCAGCGTGACATTCGGAGCAGAGATATCCCTTATAGCAGTTTTGCAGCCTGAATTTCCCTCCTTTCATTAGGAGAACAGCAGGTTGGACCTCCGCTGTAACCTCTGAAAATCTGGCATGGCTGGCTCTCCAAATGTCACCTATCTATCCGTGCGCACTTTCCTTCTGCTGGCAACCTGAAAAGCCTGGAGAAATAACTTGTTCCTATCAGATTGCAGGATGCTGAGTTTATTTAGCAAATAAGGGCAAACATTCACAAAAATAGTTGATAACAGTTAATATACCACATACCTCAACTGCCTCTCTTTTCCCTAACTTCCTTGACTTTTTTATTCTTTGATATTCCAACACTGACAAGTGTGCCTATGGGTAAAACAAATACATATACTTACACAAATATAGATGTGTGTTTATGTATATACTAGAGGCACAGTGCATGAAAATTAGTGCACTGGGAGGGGGGGGTCCCTCAGCCCAGCCTGCCCCCTCTCACAGTCTGGGAGCCCTCAGGGGATGTCTTACTGACAGCTCCTCTGCGGGAGGTGACCAGGCCGATCAGGGAAAGGCGACACCCCCATCATGCCGCTGCTGCTGCCACTGCCAGCCGCTGTGGCTGCCTGAGCCTCAGTCCAGCCCTTGCAGCAGCAGCCGCCATCTGCGGCTTACCTGAGACTCAGCTTCAGCTTTGTCTGGAAGGACATCCATAAGATGTCTGGTCTAATTAGCTTATTTCCCTTTTATTAGTATAGATCACATACATACATATACATATATACATATATATATATATACACACATATATATATATATACACACATATATATATATATACACACATATATATATATATACACACATATATATATATATATAATACACACACATACATATAGGTATGCACATGTATGTGTATACTTATATATTGGCCAAGCTATTTGAAATAAAAATTAGTCACCTTGTGCTAGCCTGTTATGTAAATCACCTGCTGTAAATGTGCATTAGACCAACCAGCTTTGGTGTCCTGAAATGAGGCCCACTTCAGCACTTTGCTATATATATCTACACTAATAAAAGAGAAACATGCAAATTAACCATCACTCCGCCACTCCGTTACACCCACCAGCCAATCAGAGCGACTATGCAAATTAACACAACAAAGATGGTGGTTAATTTGCATATGCAGGTGCGGAACGAAGACTGAAGACGACTGGAGATGGCGGCAGCCACGGAGCTGGAGCGAGCAGGAGGCTTGGGTTGCTCCCGGCGATGGAGGAAGCCAAGCTTCTCACAGGCCCTGGACTCCATTCAAGGAGGGGCTGGGGGCCTGGGCTCCGCTCAAGGAGTGGCTTGGGGCCTGGGTTACCGGGGCAAACCAGGCTTCCAGCCATCCCTGGCCTCCACTGGAGGAGCTGGGGGGAAAAAAGGAGGGTCTGGGAGCAGCTGGAGCAGAGAAACCAAGCCTCGCTGCTGCGGCCGGACCAAAGGCCTGGGTCCTGGGTGCCGGAGGAAAACCAGTGCTGGCAGCTAGGGAAGGAAGGCCTATTGCACGAATCTTAGTGCAACGGGCCACTAGTATATATATGATTTCAGAGAGGAAGGGAGAGAGAGAGACAGAGAGAAAAACATCAATGATGAGAGAGAATCATTGATCTGCAGCTTCCTGCATGGCCCCTACTGGGGATGGAGCCTACAGCTCAGGCATGTGCTCTGATAGGAATTGAACTATGACCTCCCTATTCATAGGTCAATGCTCAAGCATTGAGCAACTCCAGCTGGGCATCACTCTGCTTCTTGCTTGGGCCATGTATCCAGGCTCATTGTCACTCTCCAAATAAATAGAAATCCCCTGTCCTGAGAATAACCGCAGAGAGACAACTGAGTGACTTTAGGGCTTTTCTTGTCTCTTGCAAAACCTCCTTTAACAGGGTTTTCCATCTTAATGAAGTCAGGACTCTCTAGAAGATTAGAGAACCTTGTCTCCTATTGAAGGAGCAGTAAGAAAGTGTTCAGCACAAATGGCTCGCTCTCAGTTTATAAGCTGATTAATTTGCAGCTTTCACTGCTAAGGAAATGTGTTCCATTTTAGCAAGGTTCTCTTGTCTCACTGGCAGGAAAGGTGTGATTTATTTGCTTAAGGATTTGCTTTTGAATGAGCTGAGAAGTGTGCATTTCAATGTGACATTCTGGCAGGGGGATGAGAAGAGGTTTGTGGTTCCTTCTTCCAGGTAAATCCTCCAGGGAGAGCAAGCTGGTGACTCATTTATATTCTAAATACAGAACAGCTGCCTATTTATGCAATGTTAAGACATGCAAAAATATGGTAACAGGGTGGTGAGCACCCCTACAATATACAGTGCTGGCAGCAAATGGTGTTTTGGCAGGCCCTCAATCTGTTTCAATACGACACATCTGGTCAGTTGAAGGACCTTCTCCAGAACTGGTCTCTTAACAAATGACATGCCAAAAAGCCTCTACTCAAATGGTACTTAGGACCATCGCAAATCATTCAGAAACACGGTGTGCTACATCAATTTGCAACAAAACTAATTAAGAAAAAAAAGGTCCTTTGACCTGGGGGACAAAAAGAGAAAAATACCATAACAAAATAAGGTCTGTTCCTCTTAAACAATATAACATGTGTTTATGGCATTCACAAAAGAGAAAACGACTCCATTTTGCAAATGAAGCCAAGAAATCAAATATCAACTGTAATTTTAGGCTTTTAGACTATTCACCCAGAGAGTAGGGTGAGATAATAAGATAATTGGTGCTGTACCCGCTTGTAAAATGCTCTTTGGGGTTTGCATAGTACTCAGTTAATTCATTTTTGCTTATTGATATCATTTTTTTTTACTCTAAATCTTTGGGATAATAAAATGTTACTTCTCTCTTTCTTACAAATAAAACATTGAAGAGAAAACATCTTTTTCAGCAGGGTCTGTCATGGCAAACAGAGAACTTGCTCTTAGGAAAAAGTAAAGTCATTTTTACTCTCCTCAAATTTTTATGAAGAACATATGTGTTCTGATATTTGTTTATATGTTTCTGAGGTTTGTATATCCATTCATAAATGTAAGCAAAGTAAAATGAAATAATATTTATTGTTTTCAAATTTTGAGTTAATTATTCATTTCTGTCCTGGATTTTGCCCTGTGCTTAATTGCAAGTGATAAGAAATAGAAGGTGATCTCTATCGTAAAGGATTCTATGGATGAAAGGAACTAAAATGGTCTTGTAAATGTAGGGAGCAAGTCTAAATTATGTTAATTTTTTCTCTTTAAGCTCTTATTATAGAAAGAACTGAAAGCTACATTTTAAAAAATATTTACTATTGAAAGTATTACATATGTTTCCCCTTTTCCCTCACTGACCTCTTCTAACCCTTCTCCACACCCCAAGACTTCACCACCCTATTGGCTGTATCCTTAGGTTATGCATATATGAATACAAGTTCGCTGGTTGATCTCTTCCCACCCACCCTCCCCCACCTGCCCTCTGAAATTCCACAGTTTATTCCATGCTTTTATATCTTTGGATCTATTTTGTTCATCAGTTTATTTTGTTCATTGGATTCCATATGCTAGTAATATCGTGCGATACTTGTCTTTCTCTGACTGGCTTATTTTGCTTAGCATAATATGCTCCAGGTCCCTCCATGCTGTCTTGAAGAGTAAGAGAGCCTTCTTTTTTACTGCTGCATAGTATTCCATGGTAAAATGTACCACAGCTTTTTTATCCACTCATCTATTGATGGGCACTTGGGCTCTTTCCAGATCTTAGCTACTGTAAATTGTATTGCTATGAACATAAGGGTACATACATTCTTTCTGATTGGTGTTTCGGGTTTCTTAGGATATATTCTTAGAAGTGGGATGACTGGGTCAAATGTCAGTTTCATATTTAATATTTTGAGGAAACACCTTAGTGTTTTCCATAGTGGCTGCACCAGTTTGCATTCCCACCAGCAGTGTACTAGGGTTCCTTTTTCTCCACATCCTTGCTTGCACTTGTCATTTGTTGATCTGTTCATGGTAGCCATTCCGACAGGTGTGAGGTGATACATCATGGTCATATTAATTTGCATCTCTCTGATGATCAGTGACTTTGAACCTTTTTTCATATGTTTCTTGACCTTCTGTATGTCAGCTTTGGAGAAGTGCCTATTTATGTCCTTTGCCCATTTTTTAATTGGATTGTTTGTCTTCCTTTTGTTAGGTTGTATAAGTCCCTTATATATTTTGGATACTAAACCTTTGTCAGATGTATCAAATATGTTCTCCCATGCAGTGGGCTCCCTTTTCATTTTGTTGATAATTTCTTTTGCTGTGCAGAAGCTTTTTATTTTAATATAGTCCCATTTG